TATATATACACACACACACATGTGACAATCAAAAGTATGAAAAAATATCCAATCAATTTTGGATATTTTGCACATAAAAAACTTTTACAACATTTGTTTATCTACTCATCGAACATTTATTGCATTTTGTTTTAATTCGATCTCTATCTATCATGATTCTCATTGTTATGTCTCACAATCTTTATACAAGTTTTTTTTCTACCTGATTTATCACCATTTGTTTTACACATAATTTATTGACTATTATTGTCATAGTCACATATTTATATTTCACTTTTGTTTATATTCTATTTCTTCATTTTGGTGTTATGGGGAGGTTATCTAGCACTGGACAATTATTTTAACATTTCAGTGAGGTTTCATTAACCTTTGTCTGGCGGCTTTTAACTGTTGATCCTATTTTCCAATAAAAGTTTTTATTGAGTTTTACACTGTTGATCCTATTTTAAGCTCACCTGTCTCCTAATTAGCGCAGATTTATCCATCATTTAACCCCCGAGTAGTTTGCCTGTAACTGTGTAGTTGCAGCTCCAGATGTGTAATCCATAATGCATTGAACTAAGTACTGTAAAAGTTATACAGTTGCCTAAAGTAGGAACTCAGGAATATTTCAATACTAAGATTACTAACTATATCATAAACCAGTGATACTAAAGAGTAAAACTGGTCGTTCTGTAGATAGTATAGTTACACAGTCCACAGAGAATGAACTCTGATGAAATGTAGATGCTGAGAGCCATACTACATCATAACCAACAATGCTTTCAACCAAGTGGTAATCCGCTATCTTGTACCCTTATGGCTATATAAATACACAAGGTATGAAATTAGATAACACATTTACTGAGGTTGATAATTATGTGACAACCAATAATACTTTTACAAAGATGGAATCGGTTATTTCGTAGATGGGGAGTTACACAAACCAACTAAGAAACAAAACCATTACCGATTCCGGACTACATCATATCCAATAACGCATCACTAAAAATGGCAAATCAAACGGTCTTGTACAAGTACTCACAGAAGCAGTAAATTGGTTATGTCGGGGACAGTATATTAATACCTACTCATGAGGTATGTACAAATTTTGAGATCCATAACTGCCTCCTGAACCAAAGATGCTTTCACTAAGGCAGTCGTTTGGTTATTTCGGAAACAGTATAATAATACCAGCACACAAGGTATACACAAATACAGAGATTCGCTGCTACTCCAGGACCATGATGGTTTCACTAAATCAATGATTTGGTTATTCAGAGACAGTAGCAATACCAATACATAAAAGGTATGCACAAACACTGAGATTCATAACCATCTCATGAACCAATAAGGTTTACACAAAAGTAGTGAATTGGCTATCTATAGTAATACCAATACATGCCCTCCTCACCATCTTGTCTTGAATTGTATTGTGATTGTAATGTCTGCCCTACATTGTAAAGCGCTGTGCAAACTGTTGGCGCTATATAAATCCTGTATAATAATAATAATGTATGCCAAACACTGGGATTTATAACTACCTCATGAGCCAATGAAGCTATCACTTAAAATAAATCGGTTTGTCTCAGAGACAGTATAGCAATACCAACACATAAGGTATGCACATACTGAGAGTCTCAACTATCTCCTGAACCAATATCTTTTTACTAAAGCAAAAATTGGTTTATTTCAGAGACAGTATGGTAATATCAACATAAAGTATACACATACCGAGAGGGTCCTAACCCTTTCCTGAACCAATATTCTTTCACTAAAGCAAATCAATTCTTTATCTCAGTGTCAGTATAGTAATACCAATAAACAAGGTATGCACAACCACTGAGATTCACAACTACTCAGTGATGCTCTCACTAAAAGCAGTAAATGGGTCATCATAGAGACAGCATAGTAACACCGATATATAAAGGAGTGCCCAACTGAGATTCATTAACCATTTAATGAACCAATGGTGCTTTCACTAAAGCAATAAAGTGTTTATTCCAGCGACAGTATAGTGATACCAACACAAGGCATGCACATACCGAGAGTCTCAACTATATCCTGAACCAGAGTCTTTTACTGAAGCAGTAATTGGTTTCTTTCAGAGTCAGTATTGTAATACCGGTGTTTCCCTGAAAATAAGACACTGTCTTATATTTTTTTTTGGCTCAAAAAAAAACACACTAGGTCTTATTTTTTTTTAATGTACAACAATCCACACTTATTCATGTACAAAAATATGGTGATCAGGGCAATCAGGGGTGCCGTACCTTTCCAAGAGCAATTTGCTAACCAATTGCTGGCCAGAATGAGCGAAAGCACGTGCTAGATGAGGTAGGAAATATTTTCGCTAAACGGGTGGGAACCATATACCATCGGTATAGGACTTTGTAATCTACCTCCTTATTTGTTACGTTAAGAGAGCATCTAGAGTAGGGCTGGTAATGATTAAAAATTTCCTGTTCGTTTTTTTTTAAAATAGATTAATCGATTATTTCGATTAATTATAACGCACATACACATCCAACTACATTGGCCTATACACATACAGCACAGCAATAAAGAGAGATATTATTCCATATCCGTTCCCAGTCGATGAATACAAATGTTTTAAAAGCCAAGTCCATGTCTTGTCTGGTTCCTAACCCCCTCTAGTGGACATTTTAGTAACTGCTTTTATGTCAAATTCTTGCATTATATGTAAAATCAAAGAAAATATATTTATTATATAAATTAAAAAAAAACAACTTTGCTTTATGATTCTTTAGCCCAGATGAATGGGGGCTGTTTGCTGTTACCTTTGATACCAGTGGATGATTAAAATACAGTTTTGGGCTTCAGTTATTGTTTTGTGCTCTTTTCCGATTTGACTAGCTGTGGATTTCTCAAGCCAAATAACCTCTACACTAGGAAACCCCTGCATTCTAGAGAACCGCAAAAAAAACGTTTTTTTCCACTGGACTGATAGCCTTTGGGCCCAGTGCCTCATCTTTCCTTAGATTTGGATATTCCCAAGAAGTATGGTCAGCCCTACGTGAGTTCTCTCCAGCTAGACTACAGAGCACCTACTGCTTATGGTGGGGAGAGGGGAACTAGGCAGGGCTGACAACACTGCTTGGGATTTTAGGATAGCAGGGGCAATGTTGTGAGTTCACTGGATTTTTGGCAGGATCTGCAGGTAATTTTCTGTACTTGCTCAATGGGGAAAGGTGCATGTATTACAGAGGTCATGAATGTGTTTTTATTATGCCTAGACAAGACATTAAAGCAGAACTCTAGGAGTCATCTTTTATGTATATTGGTCCAGCTTGGCTCAGTGCAAATATCCATACCTTACACCCCGAACATGCACGGTAGCAGTCAGTGCTAAATAAAATGATAGTTGGTCTATTGTGGCTGTGGCTCCAGTCGCGTCCCCTCTGCACACTAAGCATAGTTGCTTGGCACCACCACCATATAGAGAACTCCTTGTATTTTTTTGTGTGTTCTTATTGGACAAGGTGGAAATAAGTCAAGAGTAGGGGTGGATTGTGTGACAATCAGAGAATTCTTTGTATTCATAAAAGAAAAAAAACACACACACACACTGCGTTCTCTATATTGTGGCCGTGCTGAGCAAGTGAGTCCCTGTGCTCAGTGTGTAGAGCGGAAGCTGCTGGAGCCACAGCCGGAAGAGACCAATTATCACTTTATGCAGCGCTGACTTTCAGAATCCCCAGCAGCCCTTTAAGTATCCATATCTGACACCCAAAGTGACATTAAACTTTGGGTGTACTGTAATGTGTGCCTTACTGTAATCCATGGTTATTTCCCTTCTCTTTGCTGCTCTTCCTTTTAAATCTGTATCTGTTCTCATGCTGGGCAGAACTTCTGTTTTGCAGCAGACTGCCTTGTCTCAGGAATGGATACATGGTGTCTGTGTATAGGTTTGTATAGGCTTGTAACCTGAGCCAGCACTACAGGAAGAGGCCCCGAGCTGAAAAGGGAAGTTCTCCCCAAGCATGAGAAGACATGAGGATTTAAAAAGGAAGAGCAGCAAAGAGAAGGGAAACAACCATGTGAAAGTTGTGCGACCTTACAGTAGTAGAGGTCGCACGACTTTTAACTTACGGACATGTTCGAAAACCCGCCGAGCAGCGTACGATGTTCGGCGGGTCTGTAGCATTTTCCTAAGATAAAAGCCGAACGGGCTGTGTGCGCATGCGCACACAGCCCGTTCGGCATTGCGGTCATCGGAAGCCCGTCCCTCAGGGGGCGTGGCTTGCGATCATCGCAAGTACGATCTGCCTATGCAAGATAGGCAGATCGTACGTTTTTTTTAAGTACCTTACAACCATCGCAAGACAAAAGTCTTGCGATGGTTGTAAGGTGTGTGCCCAGCCTTACATTGACCCAGTCTATGTCAAAGTAAGTATATTTAAACCATTATTCCTGTAGTTCAGCTTTAGGAAACAAGGAAAATATAAATTCATATTTTCTTTGTCAGCCTGTAACAGACACCCGAGTGAGGTATTCATTAAAATTGGGTTCTGTTTTAACTTGGCCAACAGAGTATTACAAATCTCCCTTGTGGAGATGTAGGGGTTAAGTCAGGGGTGAGCAACTCTGGCCTCCAGCTGTGCTTCAACTACAAATCCCCAACATGCCTCTGCCTCTGGAAATCATGCCTGTAACTGTTAGCCTTGTAATGCCTCATGGGAATTGTAGTTCTACAACAGTTGGAGGGCCGGAGTTGCCCACCACTGTGTTACATGCTATACCGCTTTCCAGACACTAATAAATTAGTTCCAACTTTTCACCTATCTAAAGTCTCTCAAAGGTTTTGCAGTAGATAAATATATTTTATTCAGTCAAACTGTGCAATATTTCTATAGCATACTGCCAATGATCTGCAGAATTCGGCTGCATGGTCTCTACTCCAGAAATGGCTTCCATGTATCCTCTGCTTCAGTGATTATGCAATTCATCTTTATTTCACTTTTCTAAGGGTGCATAATTCAGCAGCTTCTCAATTAGATCAACATGAGAGAGCAACATCCGCCGACAACAGTAGCGCTTCAGTCCTAGAGCATCCAAAGCGTCTCTAAAACACAGGAAGGTTGAGTTAGAGGTGAGCTTATGTGACTCTATATTACATAGTTACATAGTTACATAGTATTTGGGGTTGAATAAAGACATACGTCCATCAAGTCCAACCCATATAGGTCCACGCATCATCATCCAGAGGAGTCCCTAACGTATGAAGGGAGTGATCCCCAGGCGAGCCCACGTATAGCCCTCTTATGATTGGTCCAGCGCCATGACGGGCTGTCAGTCACAGGACAGGGCGCAATGTCTTTAGTTACGGAGGACTCGTTACACAAACCCTGTAACAGCTGCGGTTTAAACCGACAGGGCTCCCGCACACTTGCCGATTGGCCAGTCACTACTATATCTAGCACATGGGACGGAGGAGGTCTGTATCTGATGAAGGGGGCGTGACCCCGGAAACGCGTCATCATACAGCACACAGTCTCCTGCTGACACATAGACACGGCTGTGCAGCTCTCATAGACTTCACCTTGGGTCCATGGAATTAACTTATATATCTTTTATACTTCTTATCATGAATTTTTTGAGTATGTTTTATATGTTTCTTCAATTCTGATCTTATTAAATTTGTCTGCACCAGGAAAGGCGCCCCTTGTTTGTGTTTTTTCCCTAGATTTACAGTCTCCCCGGCTGATTTGGGGCAGCATCCTACAGACACACATCTTTTAAACGTGTTTTTAAACGTGTTTTTTATTTTACTCATTCACCAATTTTTTATTCATTCATCTATTTCCAAATAGACTGATTCTAATTTTATTCATGTGTACATTGGTTTGTACTGGTTGAGCAGTCCCCTCTGGCGCTTTTTTGTTTTTTCTAATCTCAAACAGTATATTAAAACAAGCAAGTTCAAGTTATCACTGAGAAAAGAAGGAGGGGGGGGGGAGGCAAGTATAAAGTGAGATTAACATCAAACATGTATTTAAGCTATTTTAAATACTGATGAAATCACTTACAATGGATGCTGCTTATTGATGTCTAAAAGTTTCCTGCAGAATCAGCTGGTCCCCTGAACACTGGCCCTGATATCCATCCATAGATTGTAAGCCCTCCTTACCATCTTGTCATGAATTGTGATTGTAATGTCTTCCTTATATTGTAAAGCACTGCACACACTGTTGGCGCTATATAAATCCTGTATAATATTAACCTGTTTTATAGTGACTCCTTACCCTTGCAATGTCCTATGGAGCCATCCTTGTGTGTGCTAGTAAGCCGTGTGTGTCTCAACAAACACGGCAAGCCTAACCACTCCCCCTCTTCCAAGCTAGCAGATGGACAGCTGCCGGAAATTGTGCTATTCCTTGTGATCTTGTGCAGGACAGCAAGGTCAGGAAAGCCGAGCTAAGAGTTGGTGCCCGCTATTCAGAAACATGACGACTAATTGCTTTCTTCTAAAATGTAAATACAAAACATTTGCTGGGCAATATATACAAAGGTTTGATCTGGATTCATTATTGAAGAAAGAAAAAAAAAAGTTTGAGCTTCATACTACTTTCTTGCTTGGAATTCATTCCTTTAGTTACCCGTCCCATTCAATTGTTGGAACTTATCATGTTGATCATTTTTTGTGTACCTACTCGGTATTCTAGTCTTAAAGTCTAGTTGACAAGTATTATACCCGCCACAGCGCTGGAGGACAGATAAAAACAACAGGAAAGAAGATCGGATTAAGGAACATCATTTAAGGTAAATGCTTTCATTAACATTGGGGGAGAGGGAAACATTTTTTTTAACTTTAATGTCACTTTAAGATAAGATGGTGGAAGGGCACTTATGTGATTGTGTGCTAGGGGAGAAATAGGTGCAATACCTTTGAAATGGGTTGGTCATCTTGTACAGTTGATCTTTGATGCAAGTCTTAAAACTGGTCATACATGGGTTACATTTCATCCATTTCCTGCTGAATTGGACACAATTTGATCGGTGGGTGGCCCAACCAGCAATAGACTTTTGTTGTTGGAAGCGGGTAATAATTCAGCTGCAATCGCCGTTTAGTATTTTGACAGCCACAAGTGCCAGCTGTCTAAATACAATAGCTAGCAGCAGAGATTCCTCCATCCATGCTGTTTACCGTGGATGGGAGAATCAAGTGATTCTCATTTAGCCCCAAGGTGTAAGATGCATGGCCAGCTTTAGGTTATGGTCCCTTCAGTTTTTGGCAATCATACTCCCATTATATCCGCTGTATTTGTTTAGGTGATATTGAAGTCACAATGGCCCAGATATCTTGTTTTATAGTTGCTTCTCTTCCTTGCATGGTTCTATGGAGCCACCTTTGTGTGCGCGCACTAGTATGCTGTGTGCGTCTCCACAAACACACAGGCAAAGCAAGGCAAGACAATTCTCTACTTCCTGCTCCTCCTCCCTCCCTTCTCCAAGCTAGGGCAGCTGCTGGAGACTGCTCTGTCCCTTGTGATCTTGTACTGGACATGTAGTTCATGGAAGCCGAGCTGAGAGAGTTGGAGCCAGCTGATGGAAACATGATGACTAAGTGCTTGGGGAAAAAAAATAAAGAAACATTTTGCTGGACAATGTATATTTGTTTGATTTGGATTTATTATTGAAAAAGTTTGGAAGTTTAATACGACTTTAACCACTTCAAGACCAGGTGTTTAGACCCCCTTCCTGGGCAGGCCATTTTTCAGTATTCAGCGCTGCGATACTTTGACTGACGTTTATTCCGTCATGCAACGCTGTACTGAAATTAATTTTACACCATTTTTTGGGGACAGATAGAGCTTTCTTTTGGAGGTATTTAATCACCACTGGGGGTTTTATTTTTTATTATAATTAGGAAAAATTACTGAAAATTTTGAAAAAAAAAACGTTTTTTTTAAACATTATGTTAGGAAACATTTATTATTACCCAGTTTTTTGGTCAAATATAAAAGATCGGGTCACGTCGGTTAAATAGACACCAAACATGTCAAGCTTTAAAATTGCGCGCACCCGCGACATCGCAGAAAACGAACGCAACCAAAATTAGCCATATGCGACACTTTAAACGTTTTTACCGCTCATCAGTTTAGTGTTATCAGTGATTGATGGCCCTAGACTTATTGCTCTCACTGCGACGTTCGCGGCGATATGTAACATGTGCGGCGTAATGGGCGCAATCGTCTTTTTTGCACGTATGCGCCCCCGACGCATGTATGCATGCGTGTATGTATGGGTGGGGACTTAAAAATTTTTTTTTTTTTTT